CCCCAAAACCCCAAAACCCCAAAACCCCGAGATAGCATATAAATATAGAAAATTTTATCATAATTAAATGAATCCAATCTTCAATATTTTCAGCGACTTCTGTCTTTGTGAACTCCAGAGCCAATTACAACAAATAATGCCTGTTTCTGAGAGATCTCAATATAAATATCAGAAGCAAGTAAAGACAATTCACACATATGACTTCTCTAAACATCAAGAAAAACTGAAGGCTAAGCTGTTCCCCTTACTAGGAACAGGCCTTCCTTTTGTGCAGGCAAAGAAGAAAGCCAATGTTCGCAAACCTAAAAGAGTCAGTAAGAGAAGAACCAGGTTCACAGGATTGACCAAGAACTCAGTGAACTAATAGCCGAAATCCAAAATGAGCTCACTATAAAAATTTAAGCCGGCTAAATAATGACTCCAAAAGCCTGTGGAGTCACTCATTGAGTGGAGTCACTCATTGAGTGTAGATCATCTGGAGAAATAGAATAGTTGTCACTTTCTATACTATAATAAGAATGGCTTCATAGTTTCTGATTCCAACCAAGAAGTCTCACCAACTAAACATCTATAATACCAGTAGATATTCTGAGAGAGAACTTAGCCTATTTATATACCAAGAAACTCAATTTGGAGAAAAAGTTTGCCAAGGTAGAGAGACTTTATTAATGACAATTCAGAGATTCAGCAAGTCAGTATTGAAAGAAAATAGAAACTGTTAGAATCTAGGCTTGTGATGAACTTTCATCATGAGGTAGAAGCCAATTGAGAGGCAGAGATATTTACTTTGAAACTTCAAAAGAATTAACTTAATCTATCTCTGAAAGCAGAAGCCTCGAACACTCCTCCGTTCTGGTTGAAGCTCTCCAGCATTTCGAAGACATCTTCGGCCCTCCATGCAAAGTTGGTCGGAGTCTTGTTGTTGTGCAGCGTCAGTGAGTAGAAGTCGAAGGTGATCGCTGCATCGACTTCGAGAGGGAAGCTACCAACATAAGTCTTCTTACCTTCGACTACGATCACTGTCTGATAATTCACCGAGTTCTTGGTCAAGCCTATGGATCTGGTTCTCCTCTTGCTGACTCTTTTAGTTTTGCAAACATTGGCTTTCTTCTTTGCTTGCACAAAAGGTAGTCCTGTTCCTAGTAGTGGGAGCAACTTGGCCTTCAACTTCTCCTGGTGCTTCGAGAAGTCATATGTGTAAATTGCCTTGACTTGCTTCTGGTGTTTATATTGAGGCCTCTCAGAAACAGGCATCATTTGCTACAACTGTTCTGGAGCTCACAAAGGCAGAGGCTGCTGAAAATATTGAAGATTGGATTCATTTAATTATGATAACTTCTCTATATTTATATGCTATCTCGGGGTTTTGGGGTTTTGGGGTTTTGGGG